GGCACAGTTCAGCCTTTTGAACGATGGTTTTTAAGGCGCATTTCAGCTCTTTTAATTGAAAAAACTAACTAGGAAAATCAATTAAGCATAATTCAAGATCACCAAACTCAATGTTTTTAACATTTTAAAACATTTTTATTTTTAAAAACATCGACTTTACTGATTTTGAATTATGCTTAATTGATTTTCCAAGTTAGTTTTTTTCAAATAAAAAGGCTGAAATGCGCCTTAAAAAACATCGTTCAAAAGGCTGAACTGTGCCTTTAACATAGGAAATGCGGAAGCCAACCTTATCATGAACGGGCTTTGGGAATTTTTTTAACACAATATGGTGATACACATGAAATTGTTGCAAGATCTTACATCAATCTCGCAGGTCTTGCTTGCTCAAACCCAAGCGAATGCAGTGATGGTATAAAGTACGCGGAGTTAGCCTTTAAAATTGATGATGGACCAGATATCGAGGGGCTTCGCCACATGAACCGAGGGCAGCTGGAACATATCCAAGGTAACTTACGAGAAGCAAAAAATATTACTTTCAAGCATTGAAGACCTTCCAGGACAAGACAGCAAATATAAACGGAGTCCGTCGCGTACCTGTTGTTACAAATATGGCGCTCATATATACATATCTTGGAATCATAGATCGGAGTCTTGATAACGTTGAAGAGAGTAAACGTTCTTTCGAAAGGTCCATCAAGTTATATCTAAAAGCTAATGGACTAAACCACCTCGGTCTAGCAGATTCGTATTACAACTTGGGCCTTATACATTTCGAATTACACGAATTACCGACAGCTGAAGATTGTTTTATACGTGCTCTTGAAATCTACTCTAAACAGTTGGGACCTTCTCATAAACTGATCGCCAATGTTTCTCGATATCTCGCAGGTGTACTCGAAGAAGCAGGTCAGGCAAACGAAGCAGCGCACTTAGATAAAGAATATGGTAATGTCGCAAGCAAGACCTTGATTTTATCCTTGCTACAGTTGACAAATGGAGTTCATACATCACACAACTATTGGACAATGATTTTGAGTTTTGGTGATGCCAAATACTTGCGATTACCGTGAATTTAGTAGTCGTTTCATGATTCGCTCTTTTCTTCTCATTCCAATGTACAATTTCAAAGATTCCCAAGTCATTTCAATGACAATTAGAGAGGTTAAGATTGACGTTTGCGGCAGATCGGTAACCGCAAACGGGAAACTTCAATTCGCATTAGAAGACAAATTCTACAAGTTTTCGAAGGTTTCGACAGTTTCCGAAGGTTTTTAGTCAATTCGTTCGTCAATTTTAATGCACAAATTGTCCTAACTTCGAACAGCTTACACCAGCTAATCTCAAAATACGACTTGAAGTTAGCGGCAAGTGGTCTGGCGTTATAAACGTAAATCTTAAGATTGGCAAATGTTTAAGAAAACAGGAAGTAGGCCTATATACTTCATGTCCTTCATGGATATCTTTTTTTATTTCATAAATTAAGGAAAATCAGTTGGCTACTATACTGGCCAAAAGTTAATCAAACAAACATTATGAAATGTATCAACGTCTTTGTTTGCCATATAACTTTGCTTTCTTATAATCCATCGAAAACTGATAGTACTATTCAAATTGGTGTAATAAACTTTATTTCATGCGGTTACGAAGAAATATGAGACTTTTATGAACAATTTTGTAAATGTCAACGCGGTCAGCCATATGTTGTCAGAGGGCTAAATAAAATAATAATAAAGTAACCACTTTCGGCTCAAAAATGGCTATTTTTATACAAATATTTACAAAATTTGCGAACTTCACAGGACGACATTTTCTTCATTTTATAACATTTAGCAACCAATTTTTGCTGTTTTACTCATTCTAAAACGCTTGTTCTAGCCATGCTTGCATGCATGCAGGTGTTAGATTTCGTTCTTCTTGCCTTGCGTATTTAGTCTATATAGCTGGAACCATTAGCGTTATCTTCGTATTTGGCCTGAAGGTACGAGAGAGTATAAACACGGCTCTCGCCAACCTCGTTCCCAGGATCTTTCCTCTTGTGGAGCAAAGACCCTGGTCGGGGCTGGTCACGTGACCCACAGAAAATTAATAGCCGAAGAGGGGAATGGAACAGCCTCATATTACATGTTTCCACTTTCGCACTTCACACTTCGATTGCAAGGAGTGGCCGTTCCGTACAATCGTCTTTGAGAATCATATATACTTCAAAATACTTGCTAAATTGCTTTTAAATTATACAAACATGCTAAACTGTAGATTCTTATAGCAACAGCAAAGTCAGAAAATCAAGCAACGAAAACGTATGATCGTATATGCTTGGAAATATTTGCCCTTTTATTGTCTCGGGGTTCGGGCGCAGTTTCATTTCACGCGTACTACGTTTCTGTATCTGGTTCAGATATTTATAATATTCTTATAAAATATGCCATTGAATTATTGTCATATGGAACGGTATAAGTTTTGTTAAATAGAGATCTCAAAAGCGACTGTGTAGGTCGTAGCGCCCTGCTGGTCTTACAGCAAACGTTACACATTTGGACACTAGCCAAATAGACATTGAATGTCCATTCTATTGATTTTAAAACGGTTTATAGACGTAGTGCTCCAGATTTTTTTTAAAAAGGTTATCATCGTTTATATTAAACACGGCGGGTAGGAAGGATTGTTAACGTACAAAATTGTTTGGGATCGACGGTAAAGAATTATACGACAAATCACAACTGTATGCATTTCCTTTTCTGCACGATTGTTCAAGCCAAAAATCAAACTATTGCACAGAATCTCCGATATGAATTCTATCGCCATTTACCTCGCCCCTTGAATGCAAAGGAATGATAGCCGAAGAGGTTTAGCAGAGTATTTTTATTATATCTGGTATAAAGTGTCACTACGTTTTATCAGGGATATATATACTTCAAACACTCATTAATAATTCATAAGCTTATTGGCAAATCATGTCAACCATAATATGTCACGTGCAGTGGCTTTAAACCTGATAAAACACTCCTAATTAGTATTCTTTATATAAAGAATACTAATAAGGCAGTATCTATTCACGGGCAATAGGACAGGTGTAGTGTTGTTAAATAGAAATTTAGAAAGTATTATACTTGCTCATGCATTATAATTATGTTTAAAAGATCAGAATATTCATAACTTCTTATTTTGTTTCATAAATAGTTCTTTAATATTCGAAACAAATTCCACTTCTGCTTCGTCTGCCATATTTTGCCAGGAGGGACGGCAATGCCATGCAGCATGTAGATTGGGACGAGTAAACATGGCGATGGCAGACGAAGCAGATGTGGAATTTGTTTCGAATATTAAAGAACTATTGATGAAACAAAATAAGAAGTTATGAATATTCTGATCTTTTAAACATAATTATAATACATGAGTAAGTACAATACCATTTCTAACTTTCTATTTAACAACACTACACCTGTCCTATTGCCCGTGATCTATTGTAGTCGTGTCCACATTAGTATTTTTTATATAAAGAATACTAATAAGGCAGTATATCTATTGAATTTGTAGTCGTGTTTGAAGCAGTTTAATAAACTCGCAGGTCATGTTTTATTAGGTCTAAAGCCACTCGCGCTGCGCGCTCGTGGCTTTAAACCTAATAAAACACTCCTGCTCGTTTATTAAACAGTACTTAATTCATAAACTGTATATGGGCACGAAGTCTAGTTCATAGAATTACTTCATATAAAGTTTTAATAAGCCTTTTAAAGTTTCCATTGATAGATAGGTTATTTGCCTCAAGTATGGGTTGGTGAAACTGCTAAAATGTTATTACAGTAAACGATAAAGATTAAAGTTGATTTAAATATTGATGACACAGCGGCATTATACAAGTCGAAAGAAGATGTATTTTAAGCCGGGTTATTCTTCAAATATAAAGCCCTGAATGGATAATGGCAATGACAATGAAAGGTCTTTATAAGGTAATTAAGGTTTATAATATCATGATTGCGGGTATTCCCTTTGTTCTCGCAGGGCAATTAATAACTAATACACCTCATTATATTCATTTTTTCTAATCCTACCCGCTTTTACGTCATGTCA